AGCAACAACTGGCCCTTCCAGTCCTTTAATTACACAGTGGTTAGTGGTAAGAACAATAACACATACATAGAGTTTGCAGACAGGAACCCTTCTGAGTACGTTACAGGTATTAACTCATTTACTCCCCTATTTTACAGATGAGAAAACCAAGGCACAGAGGGGTTAGGTGGTTTTTCCAAAGTCTCATGCCTGGAAGTGCCAGAATTTGAACTTGTGCCCTGACTCACTCCTCCTTGGTGAATTACTTTGATAGGAGGCAGGAGGTAGGTTCTGCCTTTAGTCTGAAGGGGGTTGGCCCTGTGGAGTTCCCCAGTGAGCCTGGAACTGCACACAGGGTGTGGGCTGCAAGAAGGGCTTTCCAGGGTGACTGACACCCTCCCTTCAATGGCAGTCCTACTTCCAGGGCTCCTCCCAGATTTGCCACACACACCCCTCAGCAGTTCTCTGGCTGGGCCTCTTCCCTGTGTCCCTTTGGGAGCCTGAAAGTGGGCAGTGGAATCCATGTTTAGCATGGACGCCAGAAACCCCGGGCCTCAGCTCCTTACCTACCTTCTAGGAATGGGAAAGAACCCAGCCCCTTAGGCCTCTCAAGGGCCTGGGCAAAGCCCACGTGGATAGTTAGGTCCTATCTGCAGCACTTTTGGGAGGAAAAAAGGATTTCTGCTCAGTGACAAGGGAAAAGGCATGGTATGAAGTGAGGCCCGGGCACTAGCCTATCTCTGTCTCCACTGAAGGGGACTTAGGGAGTGTCTTCTTTACGGATTTTATCTTTTCCCATCTATAAAATGACAGGGCATGAAATGGATCTTGCCATTTTCTTTTCTTTTCTTTTCCTTTTGAGACAGAGCCTCAAGCTGTAGCCCTGGGTATAGTGCTGTGGCATCACGGCTCACAGCAACCTCCAACTCCTGGGCTCAAGCAATTCTCTCGCCTACACCTCCCAAGCAGCTGGGACTACAGGCACCTGCCACAACGCCTGGCTATTTTTTGGTTGCAGCCGTCATTGTTGTTTGGAGGGTCCAGGCTAGATTCGAACCCACCAGCTCAGGTGTATATGGCTGGTGCCCTAGCTGCCTGAGCCACAGGCACAGAGCTGGATCTTGCCATTTTTAAGATGTTCTGCGTTTGGGGTTCATAAGGAGACACACTGGGAGGACAAGGCTAGAGACAAGTCTTTGGGTACCCCCCAACCCCTTCCAGTAGAGCTCACATTTATTACCTTTTCTGTTGGACTTGGGTTCTGGGACTTTGGTCTTTAAAAGTCTGGGGGAGGCTTGGCACCTGTAGCTCAAGCAGCTAAGG